TGGCTGGGTCGTCGAGCATGTACTGAAGTCCGGCATGCTTGAGAGATCCTGTATCGTCGCAACGAGCTGCATTTACTGCACTTTCCATCTAAAATGTCAGTATGCAAATGTATGCTAAAAAGTGCATATATGCGCTTACCGATTTGAGGAAACTAGTTAGTGACTCTGGTTCTCGTTCGAGTTTTGCGATGAGGCCACTGAAGTTCGGAATCGATTTTGCGAATGTCATAAACAGATGTTGGCTCGTGTTCTGCGACAGATGAACCATTAGCTAATAATGGCTAGTTGGAATGAAAATGAACTCTTCGTCCTGCTCTTGGTCATGATCAGCATCCTCGGGCTCGAATTCAGCAAGTATTCCATCTCGCAGAATAATGAAAACATTAGCAAAAGGTCGTAGTTTAGACGGAAGAATTGAGCGGCAGTTAGGTAAGGATCGAGTGGGTTCCTGTAATGATAGTCAATATAAGTCACAGTCTTTCAATTTCGCATATGGGTGACTTACACTTTCTTCTGCTTGCGTCCGGTTGATGAAGTATCATCTAAGCTCCAGAGAAGAGCCTCAAAAGAGTCCTCGGATCGATTGTTTTGGTCTGTGCTCTCGGGCATGATGTGGTTCCGGGTAAGGGGTAAATATGATTCAGGAATCTTGTTGACGCATTGTTTGTTTGGTTCTGTTGACTTACCAACACGTCAAAGTTTAGTGCGAGTGACTATATGCGCCATTCAACGTTCAACGAAGTCTAATGTTACAATTACAATGAGTGCAAGCAATACAGTGACACGAGCGCAAGTGTATGACAACAAAAAACAGTACGGCTATAAGTGCTACGAGAGGCAGTGTCCATGGGAAGTGATATAACAGTGAGTACAAGTGCGCGACAACAAATAAGAATAAAAAAAAACTGCAATTATACGCGACGGCACTTAACACTGTGGACCATTCCTGATCCTCTCCAAGGTTGCTTGTACCTCGGGGATCCATGAGCTTGGGAATGGTCAAACCCAATAGCCCCATACCTCGCTAGTATCCTTTGGGTCTCGTGGGTTATCTGCGCGCCTGGTAAGTAGGTGGCATGGGGATGCGGCACACTGAGTGCTAGAAATCTATGAGATTAAGTGTATAAACAAATGATACTCGTACCTTGGCTCACTGAGGCCGACGTCCTGGTCTTCAATCTTGACACCAATGACTTCCTCCTTGACACTCATACGTTCCTCCGATATTGCAGAGCCGCTTGCAGCCGGGTCTTTGATCCGAAAAACCACTCACTACAAATAAGATTAGCACAAGCATCAGCGAACAGAATTTAGACTAACGTACCTTTGGTCCCGGAGATTCAATGTCTAGGGCGAAACAATAAGTGTCCCATGCTGACTCTACGCCATCGATCTCAATGAATATAACATCCTGGAGCATCTTGACGTTTGATAGAACGGCCGAGGAAGACATTGTAGTAATTGAAAAGTTGTGGTGGAGGTGTGATAATGAGCGTAGAAATGAAAGGCTATAGCGCAACTGTAGCGTCAATATCCATTACCGGCATTTGCCGGCTGGCTTTGAAAGTCACATGATCACATGTTCACCCGCTCTCGCATCTTCACCTATAGCGCTGAGAGCATGTTCTGTTCATATCCGACTAACAATTCTATCTTTTATTATAGGTTAATTTTCACTTATGCGCCTGGGAGGTGCTGGCTGTGCTGGAGGTCGGCGCACCAGCACCTATGATCTGGCATATATACATATTTATTCATTTATTCTTGTCTTAGGCGCCCTCATGGGGTACCAGCACCTTGCAGGTGCAAATCCCTAACTAGGTGTCCTGAAGGTGCGTGTCCCTAACCCTACCATAGTTACAATGCGCTCACTGCATCACCCACACCTCTCCTGATATGCTCTCCTCGTTGCATACGATGTCAAGCAGCTTAGCCCCATACTCGTTCTCACAGCCGGCGTCATCGTTGCATTCTCTTTACATGTCGTCTCACAGTGTTTCGCCTCCCGCATATGGGGGAGCGTACGCGCTGGTCATCAACGAACTCTGCACGACATCAGACATTCTCACCCACCCTCACATTCTCACCCCGCCCTCGCATATTCACCCGCCCTCACATCTTCAACTGCCCTCACACGTTCACCCGCCCTCGTACCTTCACCCCTTGCATTTGATCAGTCTCTTCAACGCCTTCCTGCCATTCCTGTATCCCGCCCTCAAAGCACACGAAGATAATAGGCGCGTTCATGAATGTTTTACTTGAGAACCTGCAGAGCAACGTTCTTAACCGCAATGTCAAGATACCAATACTATCATGCTTTGGCGATATCGCACTTGCGATTGGACCTGCTTTTGATCCTTATTTGAATATGGCTATGGACATGCTTGTAATATAAGATTTATTGAATCCAATCGAGTGATCTTGTCTGCAGCATGTCTGTAAGTTCCAATGATCTCGCCTGCAGCGTGTCTGCAAGTTAATAATATCAGTCAATTGCAGTTTGGAACGTGACAGATGGTCGGACCGTGTCCCTATCAAGCGCTCACCCATGATATAAGTATCAGACTGCTATTGACAAGCCCCTTGATTGTATGTCCATTATGGTCAGCTACCCATGTTCTGTTTGCAGAGCTACCTTTGACAGTGCACGGGGCCTTTCGAATCACAAACGTGGCAAGTGTGCACGGAAGGAGGCAGGGTCAATAACATCTTTAATTGAAAAGCGGCGTCAGGACCGGGACAATCAGCTTGCTGCCAAGGTGCGAAGGCTAGAAGATGAAGATGCTGCAATCAGGGAGCGGGAGGCAATCCGGCAACAGAGTGCAGAAGCACCAGACAACAATGAGATACCCGTATGTTTTTCAGTAACTCTTGGGGCCTAGAATTTAATGCCTGATATTAGGATTTCCAGGAGCCAACCCCACCACCCATAGTTCGCCCATCTGGATTACCGAACCATGCTCGTCGACTGCCCAAACGTTACTGGGACATCCTCCCTCCATTACCTGTCCTTCCCCAACCACCACAGGTGCCTACTGCTTCTCCCCCAGAATCATCACCCACTGGTGTTCAATTGCATTCTCCGACACCGCCGCAGTCATACACCACGCAACCTGACCACTATGGACTTTTTCGAACATATCCAGGCTCACTCCCATCATATAACCCTGACGAAATAACCTCCCTAGCCAATCTTTCTGACTCAGCACACTTTGCACGTGTGCAGCAGCATGCAGCTGGTTCGAGGCCTTGGTGGTCCGGTTTTGGTGCGTCGATGAAAACACAGAAGGAGAACTTCTTTGTACTGTTTCTGAATGCAACCACATATCGCTTAATGTGTTGGTTTTATGGAGGGTCGACTATGAAATCCCTTGCTGAACTTGATCGCCTCGTCAACGAGGTGATCCTTGCAGAGGATTTTGATAAGGTGGACCTGCAAGGGTTTCGTGCTTCGAAGGAGCTGGAACGCCTGGATAATTACCAGGGTAATCCAGAGGACATCCGCTCATCGTTTTCAACAGCTGACAGATGGATAGAGACCTCAGTGAAGATCCGTTTACCTGCTGATGGTGTCAAGCACCCTTCAGAGGAATCTGCCCCCAAATTTGCTGTACCTGGACTCTTCTATCGCCGCCCATTAGAAGTCATCAAAACGGCTCTTTGTGAAGCTTCAGCTGAACAGTTTCATCTCACGCCATTTGAAACCTCCTTCCAAGCATCGCCCAATGAACCTGTGGAGCGTGTATACTCAGAACTGTACATGTCCCCAGCCATGATCAATGAGCATCGCAAGATTGCATCTACACCTAAAGTTGATGGCTGTACCCTCGAGACGGTAGTCGCCTCGATTATGCTATGGTCGGATTCAACACACCTCGCTAGTTTTGGCACTGCATCGTTGTGGCCCATATATATGTATTTTGGGAATCAGTCAAAATATGTTCGGGGCAAGCCATCGTGCTTTGCTGTGCACCATCTTGCCTATATTCCTAAAGTGAGTTTATTGTGAGATGCCGTGCATTTCCCACTGATAACCTTTTAATAGCTTACAGATATGATTCAGGATTTTTATCAGCAAGCATTTGACAAACCTGCAACTGCTGAAGTACTGACGCACTGCCGACATGAGGTTATGCAAGCCATCTGGCTACTCCTCATGGATGATGACTTCATGCATGCATACGAGTTTGGAATTGTCATTGAATTTCTCGATGGTATCTGTCGGCGAGTCTTTCCCCGGTTTTTTACTTATTCTGCAGACTACCCCGAAAAGTGAGTCACAGAATCTTCACCAGCTCGAATTTCATATTGACTTCACACACTCTGCAGAATACTTCTGGCCTGTATCAAGTTTCTGGTGAAATGTCCTTGCCCTCGATGTTTAGTTCCAAAGGACAAGATCGGAGCTCTTGGCACTTGCGCTGATAGGCGCCGTCGCGATCGAGATGCACGCCAAGATAGTCATGGCCTACGATCAACAATCAAGAGGGTTCGTAACTGGCTGTATGTGAAGGGTACCAACATTACTAGTATTTTTGTCAAGCGTCTACTTGGCCCAGAATCTCTTATTTCTACTGCGGTTTGTCATTCTCACACAATTGCATTATGGTCACCAGTAACAGATTAATAGAGTGCATTTTCGACTCGACTTGCTCAATTTGGATTCAATTTTTATTCACTTTTCGTACCTGACCTACTCCATGAGTTCGAGCTCGGAGTCTGGAAGGCCATCTTCACTCATCTTCTTCGGATTTTGTACTCATACGGGAACGATACAATTCAGGATTTAAATGAATGGTTTGCCTATTTTCTATCTTACACCATCCTCATATTAAGACTGAATTTACAGGTATCGACAAGTACCAACGTTCGGACGGGGTACAATACGTCGATTCAGTAACAATGCCTCAGGTATGAAGTGTCTCGCAGCGAGGGACTTTGAAGACTTGCTGCAGGTAACCATTGTGCAATGTGGAGTTACCGCTTGGAGCTAACATTGACAAAACAGTGTGCTATACCCGTTTTTGAGTTGCTGCTTCCATCTCGGTGGAATGAACCTTTGCTAGATCTGCTATTCGAACTTGCACCATGGCAAGGCCTTGCAAAACTGCGAATGCATACTGACACGACACTTGGCTTTCTCGACACATCCACGACACATCTTGGAAGGTTTCTCAGGCACTTTGTCAAGGAGACTGAGGAAGAGTTCGAGATACGAGATCTACCAAGCGAGGAGGCTGCTCATGGACGCCGAAAGGCTCGACAGGCAGCAAAACAAGGGCCTTCACAGTCTGCAGCACCGACTTCAAGGCGAGGTACAGATGGGCCGAAGATCCGACGCTTCAACTTTGAGACATACAAGCTCCATGCCCTCGGTGACTATGTAGATGCTATTCGTCAGTTTGGAACAACGGACAACTTTACAACTCAACCGGTGTGCTCTAGAAGCAGTTTTGGTTTATTTTGCCACTGAATCAATATATTCCAGGGCGAGCTTGAACATTGTCGTGTCAAACGATTCTATCCGCGAGTCAGCAAAGCAAAGTTCACATCTGTAATTGCGAAACAGGAACATCGTGAACGGATTCTGTTCAAAATGGCTCGGGCAGAGCACAACAATTCAAAATCGGAGAAAGGCAAGTCTACAACAGTCCATAGACCTGGTCATACAACGACGGCAGGTGAAGATGCACCCTTTCACATACCCTTTGAAGCATTGGAGCCTTTGGCTTACTCAGACCCAATGTCACACTACCACATCTCCAATGGCATGAGGTACCACTTGAATCTCCCCCGATGGCTCATCAAACATGCAAACGATCCTGCGTTAAATGTAAGCTGTCAGTTTCTTTGAGTTAGCAGTGCTCATGATCATAATTCCTAAAGGACTTCCTTCCTCGGCTGAAAGATCACCTCCTTTCTCACATACTTGGTTGTGAATACGATGGTGACGAGACAGAGTTCTCTTCAGCCGAGCGTGCCCAAGTCCTGTTCGTCAATGACCGCATATTCCAGCACAAGGTCATTCGTGTCAATTACACGACATATGATCTGCGTCACTCTCAAGATTCTCTTAATCCCTACATGCATGCAGATGTCATGGTTCTCGGACATGAAGATGACGACACACATCCATACTGGTATGCACGTATCCTGGGCGTGTTTCACGCAAACATCATCCATAGAGGTGGGGATGCACCCTCATTCAAACCACGGCAGATGGATTTCTTGTGGGTTCGGTGGTTTGGTCATGATCCTAATAATTATTGGTCTGGATGGAAGGCAAAGTGTCTTCATAGGCTTGGGTTCATTCCCGCTGATGTACCAGGAGCATTTGGCTTTCTTGATCCACAGCAGATTATTTGAGGCATTCACCTGATACCTGCATTTGCCCATGGTCGCACTAGTCTATTACTGCCACCCTCAATTGCTCGTCCGCTACACGACAAAGACAAAGACTGGAAATTTTTCTATGTTAATATGTATGCTATTTTTGTACTCCTGACATCTGTCAGTAGTGCTGCCGTGGTCCGGTTTGGTCCAGTTCAGAGGGTCCTGGACGAGAACCAAGAACTGGACCACAGAGAATGGTTCTCTGTGGTCCGGTTCGGTTTTTTTCTGGTCTGAACTCGAACCAAACCCGAAAATTTTCAGCGGCGAGCATGAAAAAAAAAACATTGAAATACTAGTTTACACATTGAGTAGCTACTCCAATGACATGGCTACATACCCCTCTCTGCCTCTGTAGCCGCCGATCCAAGAGCTAACTGATTTGATCTATACAAATGGTGAGAATGAAATAAAACACAATAACCAATGCTTACCGTGGGGAATGTGAACCTGCGGCGTCTGATCCAGACAAGCAATTTGAAGTAAGCTGCCGGTTAACCGCCATTAGGATGTGATTTCACTGGCGGAAAAAGGTGGTAAAATGTTAGTTTCCCTGCTGTGTGAATGACACAACTTTTACTCGAGCATATTAGCGAAAGCTCATTCAAGTCTCAATGTATGACCTCGGCTTTGTATGCGGTGTGCTTGCGGTCGGATCCTAGATGGTATTGTAGTATACGCCTTTGCGGGTTAGTACGGCTGCAGCTCCTACCCCTCCACCGTGACTTGAGCAATCCGTAGACTATTGGTTGCTTTTTGACCGAGTTTTGCAGTGGATCTATCGTTTCGACATCGTCGGGGTATATTTGGAAGGTTGTCGAGTGATGAATGGTGCCGGGATATGTTTTGGTGCTTGATGACGTGTTTGAGATGTAAAAGGTAGTCTTGCGCAGTGTTGTAGCCGGTCCTCAATGAACAGAACCTCCTGTTATAGAGGTGAGTTGGTGAGAGACTTGAGAGTTTAATTAGTTAGTGCTTACCTTCGAAAAGGCTAAATGTAGCTTGATTAATCAACAACGTGAATCCCGAAGACGACAGTCTGATGTTGAGGCAGATGTTGTCAAAGTCGAAGTCGATAAGGGTTCGGAATGGTTCGGGAAGGCCAAACCAGAACTGGACCGTTTGGGAAGAGCTAGAACTGAGAACCGTTTTCCGGTCCAGTTCTAGCTGGCGCAAGAACCATGGACCGAACCGCGGAGAACCGGACCAAAAGTCCGGTTCGAACCATGGTTCTGGACCGGACTGCGGCAGCACTATCTGTCAGTGACTGTCACTGACCTTCGTGATTCAGATTCGTCGATAGAGACATGATGATGAGGTTCCACGGTGGTGGGGTTGGCCACAAGTCTACTCGCGAGTCGACTGCAGTTTTCTTGGAGGACTGCGACCCTCTAGATGAAATCACTCGAGATGACAGCGAGGAAGACTTTGAAGACTTGGAAAGTGGCATCAATAAGGGGGCACAGCTCAGTGCCAGGTCTGCTAGTACTACTGCACAAAATCAAGCTACTGGCGATGAAGACAAAGACGATATCGAGTCCGAGATGGATGAGTATGGGTATGGGGGCCTTGACGAGGAAGAAGAGGCGACCGACGAAGAAGATGAAGAACAAGGGGATGGTCTTGAGGAGGCTAATGACGAGGTCGGACTGGAGGATGGTGAAGACGATGCTATGGATGAGTATGAAGGGTATGCAGAGCTCTAGCAACTGATTGTCGTGTACAACACTGAAATTCAAGTGAGAGTCGATGAACATGATTTTAGACTTGGCCTTGCGGCAGTAATGAATGTAAACCCACGAAAGTCTTTTAATTATCATACAGGTAACCATCAGCCTGTTGCCGGCCATGCAAGTCACCACCAGTCTGCCCACATCCATGCAAGTCTCCATAACACTGGCTTGATATTACAAGAAATTCACCTGTCTGCTACACTCATACAAGATCGCTGCAAGGCCATATAATATGGTAAACAGACGTGCGTGGTAATGTAAGCTTCACAAGACCATATATGATCATATACACTATGTGTTGTTTTGTTGATGGTCTTGCTGCGTCATAGTTATCACTGTGTGCTTCTGTATCACTTGCTTTCAATCGATGTTGTTGCTCCCAGACCTCTCATTTGTGATCGAAATAGTTACTATATATGGCTAAATTACGGTGACTGTAATGCTGTCATGGTGGGGGGGGACCCATCCGAAGTTACGTCAGGTGTATGTCAAGAACTCTTATTTTGCTCACCTCTTGGTTGCAGGTCTTGAAAGCTTGAAGCTTGACATATTGCAAATTAATATTGAGTGCTGAGCGCAACGACGAGTGCTTCGAAAAATGACATTGACAGGAAACACAAAGAGGAAGTTTAGGCGGAGTCAGGAACTGGTGCGTCAGCGGCGCGATCTGTACCCATGAATCAATCGATCACGTTCACAATCACTTTTCCCTCGGTAAGTACTAGTGACTCTGAGACATCTCCATGATGGTAGCGTCCAGCGAATCCACCACTGTTGGCTGTCACCATTCTTGCACCGCCGTGGTGTTGATCAGGCTATCTAAATCAACCCCAGTGACATCCTCATGGTCCTTGGTCGCCTACAAGCAGTGACTGCACTGGTACCCGTTTTCACTCTACCAGATGTCGTTAATTCACATCCCGAAGGTGGACCAGTGACCACACCTGCCATGCAACCTCAAGCGCTAAGACACCTACCATGCCTGTCAACATATCAAAAATGGAAAATCCATCCGTATGGTCTTCAGCGACACCACCATCTGTCCTGACCCGACGGCTGAACACGTCTTTTTGGAGTCGCAGACCAAGATGTCGGAACACCTTCACCTTTGATGATGTATGGAAGGATGGACTCAGTAATAACCGCGCAGAGCAGACGTAGTACACTTGATGGTGCGTCCCATGTCATGAAAATGTTTCTCATCTTCACAATTACTCGTGTCTAGCCTCTATTGTCTAGTACCTTTTCCATCCGACTTCAACTTATTCAAGTGTTACCTTGTTGTGTCCACAGCATATCCACGCTTCACGACCCTGTCAATGACTGGATACGTCTGCGTCATTTCCTATCATCTTGGTTCTCTATCCGATACCTTCCCCTTCATCGAGAAACTACGAGACAATAATACAATGCTGTGATTCCCTTCTGGATGATTTATCTGTTCTCAATCTACTGCGGTCTACCAGACTTTGATGTACAAGACTGCATGCTGTCCCAACGAGCACCGACAATGTTGTCAGTCGGCATGCCCTTCCGCTTCAGCATTAAAGCATACCGAGCCAGTTCTCGAATTCTCATGATTGAAAATAAGAATGAACAACGATTATTTGACGAGCGCAAGCCTAAATCTACATAGCACAAAACAGAACGCGATATGATGAAATACGAAAAATGGGTGTTGAAACTCAATACGGTCTGCAGCACTCAGCAATTGAAACTGGAGTGCTAAGTATAGTACATCATGATAGCATGAGGAAGAGCATCAGAAAACAAGGAAACAGCACAGTCTGCACTGCTAAGGAGTTGAAACTGGCGTGCTTGGTATCATACAAAATACGAGTGCATAGTATGCATCGAAAAACAGAAAATTTGGCTCGAGCATCATCTACTTCTTCTCAGTCAAGTCCTTGGCTGCAGGCTGTCAGTAAGCTTCGACTTCCAGGTTCACAACCAAGCGAGGGACGTACACAAGCGATTTTCAAGAATGAACTCAAAAATCTTCTTCCCCATTTCCTCCCTGTCGTAGCCTTGACGACAAATCTCTTTCGCTCCTTTCTCCACTGCGACAGCCGTCGGAGATTTCATGTAGTAGTCCACGGCAGACTTGACGCGCTCCAAGTCCTTCAAGTTGTTCGGGAGAAAGGCAGAGTACTCGAGGACGATGATAGTAGCTGCATCCTGTCATCAAGACTATTACTTGGCATGCGGTGAGGAACTAACCAATGCCAGTCTGGATTATTTGATTTGCGAACATTGAACCTTTCGCAGCCTTTTGCACTCTTACAGTGCTGAGAATCAATATGGAGGAAAAACGACCTACCAAAGGTTGAAGGATGTGGATAATGTCCTGTTGCTGGACTTCGGCCTAGCCAAAGGTTGAAAGTATGGGTATCAGAATCAACTCCACATAGTAAAAGTGCTTGCCTCCTGCGGCAAAGGAATGTCAGAATCATGAGTAGCAAATTAATATTTGATTAATAATAGAGACGCACGTTCTATTTGGTTGACGTGACAGTTGTGAATAATTAACCACCAGAATTGTAGACCATGACCGCTGTGCTCAGGTAACTTACAAACTGTCAGGGGTTGGAACCAGATGAGCATCACTATGTAATGGTGAATACCATCCATGGACGTACGAGCTAAGTAAGATTGTTTGTCAGTGGAGTACTATCATTTCAAACAGGACATGATTGACATACATTCTGCGAACACATGATGAATACAAGGTATTATGCGACTGGAAGAACCCTTGGCGATTGAAAAATACTCACATTCCTATGGTGAAAGAATCAAAACGATCGATATATTAGATGCTTCGCGTTATAAGGATCAAATGACTCACATTCTGCACAGAGCAAGAAATATGCAAGATGAATGAACGTGGAAAATATCATCAAGGATGGACACTCAACGAACTATGCATGATGAGTCATGATGAGTCGATTCTCTGATAGAATAGAAAATGCTTACATTAGGCTATGAAGATGAGTGAACATTATTATACTATTCAGTATCATTTCAATAGTAGATATCATCAAGACACATACCACCTGTCAACAGGCGAGCAGCAGCGAGGGATGAGGATCATGAGCATGGGTCGAGGAGTAGAAACCATCAAGGCACTTACCGCCTGTCAACAGGCGAGCAGCAGCGAGGGATGGGGATCATGAGCATGGGTCGAGGACTAGAAACCATCAAGGCACTTACAATCTGTCAACAGGCGAGCAGCAGCGAGGGATGGGGATCATGAGCATGGGTCGAGGACTAGAAACCATCAAGGCACTTACAATCTGTCAACAGGCGAGTCGCAACAAGGCATCAGCGCTGTCCATCCTGTTCGAGCTTCGTAAACCGCAATCTTACCAGCTGTTATCAATGGACGTCTACAAAGGAAAATATATCAGAATGTCTATAGTTCCAGCACTTCAATATTTACCATCCATGAGTATCATTACCAGGGAATCGTCAGATTGAATCAATCTTTGTCTTACTTTGAGATGTGGAAACCACCTAGCAATTCCATACTGATAGGCTCCATAATCGAATCGAAGTAGCCCAAATAACTGATGCGCACGATCCAAGAGTATTCTAGATGATGTTGGGATAAAAATATGTGACTTGCAAATCTGCGACTCACGTGATAGCACACTTGATACAAAGCTCCATGTTCAATTGTTGCGTCGATACCAAGCACAACTGCAATTCTTCATCATCCAATGCAAGAGTGGTGCTTTCCAGTAGAGCGTCACAGTTTGTATTCTGTTTGTTCATATCTAGGACGGTTGCTAATGTTAACTTTGACATGGGAGAAATTGATCTGAAACACTTACTCTGCAAGCGTACATAGGACTTGGGGCGGGCACGGTTCTCAGGGTTGCGCAACCGATCCCAGATACCTGTCTTAGTGAACAGTTCCTCAACGTGTTCGGCAATCCTCTTTGAGTGTTCTTCACCCGATACCCCTTTTAATTTGTTCTTGATTTCTCCACAAGCGAATGGACGCAAAGCTTCGAACTTCGTGAATATCATGACCACAGGAACTGGAGATTAATCATTTAGTCCAAGCACGGCAAGTGACAATGAAGTTGCAAGCTCACCGCGCCCAGTATCGCACTCCAGGAAGAACTTCTCTTCTGAGCGCTGGAAGGTTCGACATGGATCGTCCATTGGAATACAATACCTGGTGGAAATAAACAAGCGTGGAATGTCAGAAGGGTGTTACTTACCAGATGGCATGGATTCGCTCCTCTAATTTCGTCGCATGTGCGCGTTCTGAGATGAATTTCTTCATGCTCTCAAATTCTTCTTCAGACCCCGCTTCGAAACCGCATGAGTCGTGAAACACGAAAATGGGATTGCTCCTGAACACCATCTCGTTCATGATGTCGTGATTCCCGCGCTGAGCATCCATCAGCGCATGTATGCCCATAGGGCAAATGGTGCACGCACCTTGATTGATGATTCCACAATGGCAGTATCGATCTACCCGCGATTGATCAGCGATGGACGCGTATATGACATAGATCATCACCCGCACCTTGTTTCCTTTGGTATCGTAAATTTCTGGTTGATCTGTGGTGTTGCAGACCTTCTGAAGAATAGTCGTTTTGCCTGCGTTTGCTCTCCCCATGATCAGAACTCGAAAGCGCCCAATTCTTTGTTTGAGGTCCTGGGCGTCGATGGTTGCCATTGAAAGATCTTGATGTACCCTGAAGTGGAGGTGATTTGGTTTATCGTGAAAGCTGTACTGTGGTACAGAATGAGGTCGTGGCGAGATATGACAGCGAACGAACACGAAGCAAGGGCTGCTCCGGCTTATCACACAACAGCTACACACGGCGTCTATCTCTTATCTATCTCCCTGCATCAGACCACTGATTATACTCTCGCATAGACACGAAGTTGCAAATGTTTAATCGTTCGTACGACTAAGCACAAGGATTACACAATAAACGATGTCGAACAACGAAAACCTTGATAGAAATATGAACTGTATTGAATAATCAGAACACGATGGAAATGACGCAATTTTTCTCTTCCCTACCTGTCCAGCTGAAAAGCAGCGATACCGGATATCTCTGTAGATGGAGGTGAAATCGATATTCCAAGGTCTTCTGAATGATTGATGCTTGAAACGTCTGAGAGCACACAAGAGCATATCGGGATGTAAGATACCCTCTAGAATGAGTGATATCCCGTGACGATCGACAGGATCTGTACGTCTAGAGTTCTCCCCCGGAAGATGGTGGTCCTGTGTATGGACTAATGAGCAACAGATCCATAGGCGCTGCGCGTTGGCTGAACTCGAACGTCCACCACACTCGTTGGTACTGAGGAAAATGACGATGTAGCAGGCCGCCGGAGCTTGTGTATTCATAGATAGCTTGGGGCAGGTTTGGTACATGTCCGTGGAAGAGTTCGACTGTCCATCATACTTTATAAATTGGCGCATATATCATCAAGTATCACAGAAGACGTACTGGGCAACATACACGTAGATTCGGAGAACTGGCGTGCGTCTTTACAAAATCCGCCCCAAGAACCCTTAAATACTCACGCATGAGCACAGTGCATGACCTTTCCCCTGAAACATACAAATTGTATGCGTTGGCAGTAAGTATGAGGACTCACAATGCAAGTTAAGACTCACTAGCTTGAAAGATATACGTGACTGTATGCCTTGAATCCAGCTATTTCGGATAATGTCGACAGATTTGTGGGTCATAGCGTTAAACATTGGGTGATCGTATCTGCTGCTCCCTGCCGGTGTCGATATTCAAGTGGTAACCATCCAAGGACATCTGAGTGAGGCGACTGTTGTATCCATAGGACATGATAGCCTTCTGCGAGTAGTAGACAGTGACTTCCGACTGTAGGCCATCTGAAAAGGAAGAAATTGTAGGTGCTAAGTTGAAATGGAAAGAAGCACCGCACTTTAATAACTAGTGTGCCTGCATGCTCATTAGATGGTCATTTGGATGAGTTAGACATTGAATGTGTGACCTGCTGCTGAACGCTGAGTCACGGGCACCATCTAAGACGTGGTGTTTGCGCTGAAGTCGAGACTTTTAATACAAAATCATCGCCCGCATGCCAGAAGAATATTCAATACAGTAGACTTGCTCATAACGTATATGGTAATAATGTATATTTTTCATATTGTATTGGGTTTGGGTGGCTCCCATTGTGGTATGCGGGGAAATGGCCAGGATATTGTATAATGTATAATGTATAGTGTTTGGTGGTCCAATAATGGCGTTCAAAGTAAATTTCACAGAGCTCGCTAAGCTCAGTAAAGCTCGGTAAAGCGTCAGTTAAATCGGTCTGAAAAACGTTAACACAAGTACGGCTCCGTTCGGCATCGCAGTCGGACTTTGAAGAGAGACTTAGTGTTTGGGAAGGTGAAGAGGCGCAGATGTGCAGATGGATTACTGTACTAAGTACAAAATAAGCTACATACAAACTATCAGAGTGACCGTTTCAGAGAGGATCGTAAGCCTGCGAACATTCGTCTCTCATGATGAAATGCGAATTGTAAGGCTGCTTTGGGTCCTAGCTCGCTGTCAACGGCCAAGAGCGCCTTGCCTTTCCCTGCACCCGGTTGACCCTGTCCGATCGCCACAAAGAACGGAGGCACGCACTTCTTCATCAACTGTCTAGGTCTGATCAGAGCCGAAAGTGAAAGTGACGGCATGTAAGAATAAATAAAGAGATCTTCGAGGCATAGCTCCTTCCTCAAACGATCTGCCTTTGTTTGAAACGGGTGAGCTGCATGGAGAGGAATAGACGTGAAAGCTGCAGTCGGACACAACTGGATTCGAGAGCGGCATGTTAGTTTGAGGACGTGCTTGAGGACGTTGATGATGGGCAGCATGATCTGGTCCCATATTATCCACAAGAGCACTATGAGATCCGTCCTCGACTCCCCTGGTGGATGGCAAAGGAACATGATGAGGGTCTCCTGATGTCGGTACGACGATGGCGCATTGGCACTGCACGAGTGTTGACTCGCAATGAGACTGGGCCCTAGTACATGGCCGCTTGGAGGTCTTTACACGATGGTGGGAGGAATCGTGAAAATGCCGGAACCGGGAAGATCGCGTATCTCAGCTACTGCGCAAGTCATGAAGGAGGGAGGACATACCCAAAATGCAGCGCTCTCATTCTTCCTCAGCACCCTGGCGAGCTCCGGTGGAGGAGCAGTAGGTTGTACTAGCTTTTGAATATGAGTAGCCTCTGAGGGAGTTTGTGTGGATGGTGTGAGAGATGCCGAACGGGCACTAGAGTGTCGTCGTCGTTGATGGTGCCGGTGCTGCACCAGAGTGCTTGTTACCACAAAAGGAAATTTTAAACTCCGACCCCATATTTGGATTCCATCACACGGAGTGGTAAGCTGATCGATAAGGATCGATAAGCATATTCATATTGGTGTCTCTTGAACCTCATCATGCCCCATCTTTCCCTACGCAACCAGCTGCTTGATGAACTGGATGAGGCAGAATTAGCCTTAATCATTTCCAAGTACAAGCATGCGCTTCGTACTATGACCCTATCTGACTTTTCCGACTCTGATTCTTATTCTGATTCTGACTTGGATATGGTCCTCACTCCTCCATCTCCTCTTACCCCACAATTATCTGACTATTCGGACTTGGACTTGGACTCGGACTCGGACTCGTATGATGAAAGCACCCATGTTGCTGCACATTACGACCGCCTTCATGACACTATCACTTCCCTTCGCGATGAGGTCTTAAGGGCACATGTCCTTCAAAAGCCAGATGCACCTCCTATGCGGGCCCCTCAAATTCACCTCCTTCATGATTTTGGGACATCTCACACTCATCTCTTCCGGAAGAAACTACGCGTCAATCCAGAGATCTTTGACGATATCCTTGATCACATCTCAGGTCACCCCATCTTCACTAATCAGTCCAATAACCCCCAGCTTCCAGTTGCTATTCAACTAGCCATTTTTCTCAACCGCGCTGGACACTATGGCAATGCCATTTCTCCAGAAGATGTGGGTCAATGGGCAGGTGTTAGTGTGGGGTCAGTAATCAATTGCAGCAACCGTGTCATGATTGCCCTCCTTGATCTGCATGATACATTCATCCAATTTCCTACTCCTGACTCTGAAGATGCTGAGCGTGCTCGGCAATTTGTTGAGGCTAGGTCCTGCCCTGAGTGGAGAAATGGTATTTTTGCAATTGATGGTTCTGCCATTAATTTGTATGAAAAACCTGGTCTTTATGGTGAGGCATTTTATGACAGGAAGTCTAACTATTCCCTCAACTGTCAGGTATTTTTTTTCTCTTATTCTAACGGTTAGAAATCAATGAAAAATTCAGGCAATCATTATGCCCCATAACCTGTTACAGTAACATGGCATGAGTCCCCTGCCAGCAGACAGCCCTCTGCCACCACACGGCTATAGACGATACCGGAGTCTCACCAGCTCTATGACGATAGATAACGATAGATGATGATAGACGATAAGCGGCAACTGCCGGCTTAGATAAGCGGTCTGGACCGCACGTGACGACACATGATGACATAGGTCTAGAAGACCTATTTATGTTATCAAGATAGAAGGCAAGCCTCGTGCTGCCTCATGTACTGATAGAAGGATGCCTCATGGATCCTATCTATGATAGAAGCCTGCCTCATGGACGCTATCTCTGACTCATGTAGATAAGCAGATTAGAACCCAGCTTTAGGCTGAGCTTAGATACGAAGAGTAGCCTTATATAAGGTCGAAGATTAAAGTAGACGTTCCTCACTTTAATCTTACTAGGTTTACCCTTGAACTCCTTGTCCCGCTAAAGCTACCTGCTCGACATCGACTCGTACCTTCAGTGACGCCTCTCACTGTCTGTAAACCGCTATCATCTCAGCGTAACCCCTCGTTAACCACCACGAGCTACGTTCGAGTATGCAACCTTTGCTTGTTTGTAAAGGCCGACGACTCTCAGCACTCGGTACCACTGTCGTGGTTGTCGCTGTTTAGATCATCCTAGTCGCACACGACCGTGTGTCGTAACATAACCTCCTCATAGTTGATTATTCACTGGGTAACCCTGGCAGTACACATGATGCTTATGCCTTCAAATCCACTCGTGTTTATCAGGAGCATGACACTCTTCTTCCAGAGGACCATTGGATTTGGGCAGATAGTGCCTACCCACTTGAGAAGTGGTGCATTGCCCCTTTCAAGAAGCCACGTAATGGGAGGTTGACCAGGGACCAGAAATCCTTCAATATTAACCTCTCTCGGGTATTTCTAATTTTTTTTTGCTGATTTTTGCAATCTTCACTGATTTTTTATTCATATAGGTCCGTGTTCGTGTTGAACATGTGTTCGCAGCTTTGAAAGGACGATTCCAGTCTCTCAAGGAACTTAGGCACCCACTTCAGAACCAGAAGGATCTTCAGGTCACTCTGCATTGGGTTAGGTGTTGCCTAATCCTTCATAATATGATCATCCGCTTCGAGGAGATTCGCAAGAAATCCACACTTGTATGGGCTGTTCGAGAGGGGAACAATACTATATGCCATGAGGATGAAGGACCAGATGGTGATGAAGTAGTAGGTGATAGGTCTTATGAAGGCACTCCAGGTCAAGCTCACAGGGCAAGGCTGATGGATTTGTTGTTTGATAGCCCTCATTCAGAAGCACACCATCAGGCAGATTGAGCAAACAAGCAGAGTAACATTGTGTATAGCTAAACAAATGTACTACTAAATTTTACAACTAGTGATCAACTTGTGGCCATATGTGAGAATACTACATGCAAACATAACAAGACATATAACATCCAAGACATGTAAGAGTATAACAACGCGAGAACATAACGACAACGACATGAGAACACGACAACGACAACGCGAGAATGTGATGATGATGATGACAACGACAATGCGAGAACGTGATGATGACAACAACAACAACGACACGAGAACGTGATGATGACGACAACAACGACAATGCGAGAACATGATGATGATGACGACGACGACGTGAGAACATGATGATGACGACGGCGCAAGAACATGATGATGACGACGACACGAGAAGTCAGGTACCAGCAGGTTTGCCACCCTGGGCATTGAGCTGGGCCCACTGAATCTGGAGGCATAGAACATCTGCTTCCACGGCAAAAGCGGCGGCATCCGCTTCACGTAGGCGAATATCTGCCTCTTTAGCCTCCTTCATGCGCTGATGGACTATGGCAGCATCTGCGCGCTCATCCATACGCTCCTCACGCATCATACGATGCTCCTTGTCCTGGCAACTAGCGTTGAGCTTCACCATAAGGCGCTCGTTCTTCAGCTGATATAAGGTTAGCTTGTCAGAATGAATACTTTCCAGGTCGTCGTTGAGCACATCCATCTGCTCATGAATCTCTGTCCGGAGGCGTTTGGAGACTGAACTTGCTGGTGTCGTCGAGACAGATGTTTGCGCTGTCGGGGAGGACTGTTGAGATGACGGCTCGTGAGATGATGATGGCTTTCGAGAGTGTGACGACGAGCGCGACCCTGACGATGCCATAGAGCCCGATTTACTCTTTTCACACATCATCACCTGGCTAACATGAGACTTGAATGTAGCACGATCATGCTGGATGGAAGTGCGGGGGGGCATCTGTTGCGTATGAGAGGTAGTAGTAGGGGAGGGGGGGGGAAGGGGGCTCCTGGCGCTTCTTCCCAGCCCTGCGTCTTGGCGGGCTGTTCAGGCTGATAGTGTTGCTGTCGTCGTGTGTAATTTCATCCGGGGAATCCATATTAAGATCCCCCATCTCACCCGCAAGAGGGTTGTCATCGTAAATACCATCGAAATTATAATCATCAGTGGGGGAATGAGCGATGGGAGAGTAAGAACCGTTGTGAGATGTAGCACCGGAGGGAAGCGGTGGGAAACGAAAAACAGGGGACCCGGCAGAACTATTGGTGTGAGCGCTTGGGGGCAGTGGCACATAGTTCCATTGCGAAGGGCTACCACCACTGCCTCCAGGAGCAGGGGAAGTGTGACAAAATTGGGGGGAGGTAGGTGGTGCTGCGGCTGCAGCACCACCTGCATGGGCGTTTGGAGGAAGGCAGCCATAAGTGGGTCCAGTTGAGGACCCAGCAATGCCGCCAGCTGGAGCATTGGGGAGAGGCGTGTTGCCAAGTTCCATGGGAGAGCCAGGATCAGTGCTGGGGGAAGCGGGGGGATGAAGAGAGCCACCCGAAGGACGGGTGAGAGAAAAGAGATCACTCGCGTGATCAACGCCCGGCTTTGACGATGACGTTTTGGCGGAGAATGATGGATGGGAGCCCCAGATGGAGTAGAGCTGATCGTACCAGGGAAAGTCCTTCTCGTATTTACCTACAAATTTAATTAGAAGAATTCGTGTAGGGAGGAGAAGACTCACGATGCAAATTCACGCTTGTCTCTGAATCGATGGGCACGATGCCTGCACCCGTTGACTCAAATTCAGCACGAATGTCACGAAATTTAGTGCGGAGGCTTTGATCAGATCAGCATTGATGATTATAAAAATAGGGGGGATCACTTACGCCACGATGCGATTATATACAGAGTCCCGAAATTTGTTGGGATTCGACGTGTAGAGCACTGCGTATTGAGGATCGTCGGAGAAAATAACCCTTGCAATGACAGCATGGATTTCATTTTTGTCTTTGCCTGAGGGGCGGCCCTCAGCTTCATGGTTGGCTGGATTCTTCTTTTCACTGGCGAACAGAATGCGGCAATCTGGTGGGTGTCCAACGAGGTAGTCAACCAGCCTATTGGTCCACTGGGGAACCGCTTGCCAGCTGATAGAAATAGTAGGAGAAGTAGTAGCTCTATCTTTACCTCCTCTGCCGCGTTTTCCCTTTCCCCATGCAGGAGGAGCTGGTGGTGGCTCCATAAATTTCAGCCCGGTCTTGCAACGTCGCGGGGAGATGATTTGAGACTGTATCTGTAGTCGCACAGAACAACAAAGTCGTGGTCGTAGGGCAGGCATGTCTTTTGGGACTCCGATCAATGCCGGCCCAAGCCGTAGTGTAACAAATCTTATTTTTGACCGAGTTTACCGAGCTTTACCGAGCTTAGCAAGCTCTGTGAAATTTACTTTGAACACCATTAATATACAGTATGACACCTAGTTTACTAAGGCCCGGGGTGCATGAAATTTTTTCATTAATGCGCATCTAGTACTAACTCAATGGTGTGTAGCACCAAAAAATGCCAGCCGCGTCCTAAGCCTGGCCCATTGGTCACGATAAACCAAAGTTGAGTACCATGGAGCTAATCAAGCTCTGGGAACAACTCGAGGCAGCATGCATTGCATGAGTTAATGCAGACTCCTCCTTTGATATTATTCACAATCTTCATAGGCTCAGAGGGGTTTTGCGACGCGAAGAAATTCAGAATGCCAAGCAGGCTACTCTAGACACGTTCTGGAACATGAAGTAGACTAGATACCGACGACTCGTTGAATACATGCGATGATGCTGTGACCGTGGGAACCGTTCCATCTCAATTCCATCTTGTATATTTTTCATAGTGTATAGAGAAAGGGTGGCTCCCGTCGCTATACGTTATGAGCAAGTCTACTGTAGTAGTACAACTCGAAGTTCGAACTGTATATGTTTGTCTGTTGTTATGTAATTCTAAATTTAAATGCCTTGCACAAACCTTCCTTGCGAACTTGAAACCCTCACAAGAAAGAACAACCGCATAACAATTGCTACTACATCTCAACGCGTATTTCAAATTATTTGTTCCACTCGGACTTTACGAAGCTTGGAAAAACATGATACAAACTGGTCTCATCCCGAGCGCACACAATAATCTTCTAACAGACGTAGCTTATGATTTTTATGGGCTTCGCTTGGCTACTTGCAGTCTCGATCAGAGGTACGTTGTTCCCTTAATACGTATACGTGTTTCTACAAGTTAACTTACGCCGCTGTTAAAGAATCAAAGTTTGGCAAGTAGACGAGAGTAATGGAAATTGGAACGTCGAAGATGACTGGAAGGCGAGCATGTCGGAAGACGCGTTTTTGCGCTTATCAACCAATTAATGCCAGGCTCACGATGCTACCGTCTCCAAACTAAGCTGGGCTCACCCAGAATTTGGGACCATACTCGCATCCGCCTCTTTCGACCGTACAGTCAAGATTTGGGAGCAAACTAGCTTTGCATCAACGACTGATTCCCAAACGAATGGTGCTGGTGCCGGTTCTCCTCAGGCTGCTTCATGTGGTTCCTCAAGATGGGTGGAAAGGGCTGTATTGGTTGATGCAAGAGGCACTGTCCGCGCAGTCGAATTTGCCCCTCATCATTTTGGGTTGAAGTTGGTACGTCAGGCGTTCGTCCCATTTAGAGATTTACGAGAGCTTCTGCAAGGCAACTGTCTCTTCCGATAATCACGTTCGCATCTACGAGTGCTTGGAACAATCATCGCTAGCCACATGGCAGCTTTCAGAAGAAGTCGATGTCTCAACGCTCCCATCTGCATCACTGTCCTCATCGTACTCCGTGGCGTTGGCGACACCGACGCAAACAAGCGCAACTCTTGAGGGTGCTTCTGCAACCTTGGTCACTCAAGCCCTGCAACAGTCGCAAAACCCCGCCACTCAGGGACGACCCGGAATGGGGAATCGAGAGGCTGATGGAGGGTGGTGCATATCATGGTGTAAAGATAGATATTGGGGGGAGATCATCGCCACTGGCTGTGGGGTATCTGGCGCTATCAAAGTATAGACACGCTTCATTTTTATGGCATTGCTCACTCTGAATCACAGATTATACGATTATCTCCCTCTCGTCGACCTATCACTCCCCTTACTTTGGACTCATCTCCTTCGCCGGCGGGTTTGCCCACTGAGGCAGGAACCTCGCTTGCAAGCGACGGAGATACTCCAACACCATTTGCGATCACGTCGGTGGCATGGGCGCCTTCGTGTGGGCGATCATATCACCTTATAGCTACTGGAGGCCGCGATGGACATGTTAGGATATGGGGAGTCAAGCCTGCGGAGGAAGAACCTGACGTCGAAGGAGAAGGGGACGATCCTAAATGGTCTGCAAATGTAATAGCTGATTTCGATCACCACCAGTACGTGCGATACGCACTCCCCTATGGCTTTGTTACTGATTGGATGTGTGCAGATCGGCGGCTGGCCGTGTTGAGTGGAACATCACTGGGTTTGTTTTTGTCTCCAGGTATCGTAAGCTGCATAGTTGACACACATTCTCTCAGGACTGTCCTGTCTTCTGCCGGGAATGATGGTCGTGTACAACTGTGGAAAGCGACTATTGGTAATGTTTGGAGAACTGCCGGGAGCATTGGGGTCGAGCAGTCGGAAAATACCCAAGATGCCGAGGTCAACATGGGCCCAAATGCAATCGTTGCATCAAATCGGTATAGAGTATTTTACCTAGACACAATTTCTGTGATAATGACTAGGTTTGAGGAATGTCTGGAACATCATCCCGTTTACTATCCCCTAATGCCAGTGTGATTGATGAGTTATCAACAGCTCTGCATGCTCATTGTTCAACGTTCGGCTACCAGTATAATTTACATCCTGCGTCTACGATAAGCATCATCAACCGAGTCACACATTCTCCATCTGATCAAGGTCGTATGTCGACTGTAGGCATGGAACACCCAAACGACTGGATGCTGGATACAAAGCCTTGAGGGCCAGATATAATACCTCTCCCCATGACTGAGAGATCTCCAGAACCGTGTCTGACTTCCTTCCACCCGTTGCACTTTGCGTTGCAACTTTTGTCAAGTGACACGTCCAGTTACTATAAAATATTCAATACATCTGAGTCCTTTACGTAGAAGCTTCACTATCCGCACTATCACATTAGCTAACAAGCAGCGGTCGTAAAAGGTGAGCCACTGCTTCAACAAGAATGGTTTCCCTCACAAAAAATATGACATCAGTCTAGATCTCTGAAGACTATGCATCTTGAGTTATTCAGAAGGTATTTATACAAGTGAGCAAAAAAACATCATGGTACACAAACACAAACGTAAAGGCCCATCTACTTGCAGCACAACTAAACTTTGGTCGCTGAGTCAGTGTCCTTGACCGCTGAACTCGCCTCTTTGCCTTCCGCATGTGACACGTTTTCAGTTTTGGGAAGGCCCATACGTGAGACGTCGAAACCGTGCGCTTCGAGGTATTCTCGGAACTATGTTGTGAGGTGTATAAACGTCGTGGGTAATGGGAGGGACAATCTGAAAATTGCGCACCTTGGCATCTTCTTTCTTCATACCATCGTGGTCCAAAGGCGTCACAAGAAAGTATACAATGATTGCGCTTAGGATGGCAAGACCGCTGGCAAACCAGAAGGGGCCAGTGTTCCCTTTAGCTGAACTTGAGCCACCAAAATCCTTGATCATCACAGGGAACACTGGACGGACAAACAAACTTAGTCCACCCGTCGTACAAGGACTGTATGACACGTACCCCAAGTTCCAATAAATGCGCCAATTTTTCCAGTGGCAGCTGCAACACCGTAATACTGGCCACGCACAGCAGTAGGCCCGGATTTTGCAGCCACTACACCAACGCAGTTTCCAGGACCTAGGCAAACAGAGTTCAAAAAGACGGGGAGTGATTGCGCAACTCCACGCACCAAACTCGCCGAAGCTCAGGAAGATGCCGTACACCACCTAATGAACCATTCAGCATCAATTATATGTGTTACATAGATACCTACAGCAAAAGCGGCAACGTGTTGTGACAGCTGGGTATAAAGACCACTCATGATAAATCCAATGACCGCTTGTGCGAGAAGGCCAGTGATCTAACGTGGGATTTAGAAAAGGCACTCCACATCTGCTTATTACCACCCACCATGGTGGCCTTTGGACCCATGAGATCAACGAAGAAGGCACCTATAACGGTGCCTGCGGACAGAATGTGAACTCTGAAAGTTCGTCGTCGTCTAATAGACTCACCTGGAATGTAGAACAGGCTGTGAAACCATGTAAATAGGAGCATGAACCACGAACGGGTGAAGCTTACTTGATCACAACAGACCAACCAAAGACGACGCTGAGGGATGAATTGCCGCCGGTAACGCTGCCAAGACGGTTAAGTTCTACTCAAGAAAACAAATGTAAATGCATACGTATCGGTGATTGTGGATGAATAAAGTACGAACTATAGAAAAGATCAGTGACAATGTATCCTGTAGGTGCTTGACAACACACTGGGTATCTGAAGGTATGTGAGTGACTGGTCAGAGTGCACGGAAGCGGTCGTTGACATACGTGATGAAGTCATAGATGAACCATGCCAACGAGATGCCAAGCAGGCCACGCCAGTATCTTTTAATGACTAGTCGGTATGGAATACGGACATGCTTCATTGAATCGCGCTTGTAGCGATTAGGTTCCTCCATGCGTAGCCGCCAAAAAAAGACACCAGTAGCAGGAACTACACCAAGCCCAAGCGAGAGGCGCCAGATGGCTCGAAGGTGGTTGTCTCCGAATCTGAAAGCAACTGTTAGACATAGGTTACAAGACGTAGAAGTGAATGGTGGCCGGACATCCAGTAAAGTACCAATGGTACGAATGCCCCAATAACGAAACCAAAATCAATCATAGTATCTGTGCAGCGTGTTTTAGATTATTGGTCATAGAGACATTTCATCACATCGGCTCACTCGTGGCTAGCACAAGCCATTGGTGTTGCGAGTTCTTAGCAATGCCCTCTTCCTCCGACTGTTCAGATGCGGACACGGAACCGCAAGGGTATTCAGCACCAATGCCAATCCCAAGAAGGAAGCTGTGTTAGAGATGATGAACGGCAGAGATAATCTCGTACCGGCGCATGTACTTACCGACATGCAATAAGCATAGCAAGCATACCGTCAAGGCTATTGTTAGCACCAGACGAAGCAGATGAGAGACCAGAAAATACTGCAACGATCCCAGTTGCGGACATCTGTTTCAAAAGTATGACTTATGGGTTGATCGATCGGGGTTGATATCTACTTACCATACCAAATTTGCGTCCGGCTTTGTCGGAGAGGTAGCCAAAGGTGAACATACCCACCACGGTGCCTGGGACGATTTAACTGCATATCAACGAAGGAAACTCAGGTACGCACCTGCGAAGGCGACACTAGAGAGTGTGGTGCTGTAGTTCGTAGTGATGCCGTCTGAACCAGTGCCGTATATGCGTTTTAGAACTGTAATTCACATTGGACCTTGAGTAAATTTCATGGAAAAAATCGCTCACGAGTATTGACTGCAAACAGTCGAATTTTGGGTGAAACGAGGCTTATCGAGTTGAATACATCACCCACCAGAACCAATGACATTGTTGGCATAACCTGGGAACGATTATCAGATTCACGTTAAGAGTCAGATGTTGTACCTGCTTACCATCAGAAAACAGAGCTGTTCCACAGCTATGATAAAGGATTGCATTGTGATCAGTTTGAAGAAGGAAAAAAAACACAAGATAATGTACGCAAAGATGAGAGAAACACTACTCAGGGTGATCTTCCCAGTCATGGCGTTGAGGGAGGCCGTGGTAGTGGTAGAGGACGTCGATGGTCACAGCCAAGACAAGTTTGTGCTTTGCCGCCTACAGTATCAGGCTGGGGTGTGCGTTACAGGCATTGAATTCAGTACATAATATCAAGATGGTTACCGGCGAGAAGCAATCAGAGAACTCAGGGATTGCGGTGGTTTTCCGACGTTATACATGGCTTTATATGACTTTATAAGTTTATATCGAAAACCTTTTCTATATATGATCATATATCGGCATATATGGGAATATCTGCGACTCACCAGTCTTCTGATGCGGCCAACGTGGTTGCAGCGTGTATCACTGATTCATAATTCATAGAGTTCCTGCGTGCTATGGAAAGCCTAACGTCCGTGCTCTCAAATCAGTGTCACGCATCCATTTAAGGGCATAGGACCCTGTACACCGCTGGAGATACGTTTTATCGCCCCACGCTGATGTGGTTCGGAATGCAAACAAGTGTGCGTCTGAATTGTACAAGAAATCTAACTAGTATACTGAGATGAATGAGACAATTACCATTCGTCTGCGGAACCATCATCATCTTCACAATCTGAGAACTCCGAGACAACTAAGCCAGCATCATCCAGTTCAAAGACTTCCTCCACTCCTGTCAATTCCGGTTCATCATCACGTTCAAAACTGTCCAATTGACGATGGTGTTCGGTATCTGAAAAATGTCATGTTTCCAACATGGAGCATGATAAACGGCAACTTACCCATGCCGAGTCCTCCATTCACACCCCCCATATAATATGCGTCGTTGGATGGAGGTAAGTCCTTGTAATTGTCCAAAAGCGGGACAACTTCTTCATCTTCGCTGCTGTCTAGGAGCTCAATCTGTGGTGGCAGCTCATCAGCGTGCTGCAATAGGTCCAACAGCTGGAGATAAATATCCCAAGCTGATTGTCGTGTAACTGCTGGGCGACCCAGTTGATCATAGAGTTGCGCAATGTATTCCCCAAATGCCTGAGGGACCAGATCAAATACTTGATGTGAAGGCTTGATGTAGGCACTTCGTACATGGCCTAGGGCCTCTCGTTCGAGTTTGATCTGTACATGGGATTGCTATTAGAATACTGTTGACAGTAGTGATGCATTAGTACGAACCTTGAAATCTAAGGCCCCAAAGTCTTCAGCTGCCTCGTAGATGAGATTGGGGACGCCATGTGGGAGAATCTGGATGAAAACATAAATGACGTGAGATTCAATAATACAATGGTATTACAGAAAACGTACCTTATTGCGGTCACGCCGTTTTGCAGAGTTGTTGATGCGATCTCGATAAGCATTTAGCTCCTGCTGGAGCCACGGAATAAAGACCCAACGGAAAACTAGTCTGAAATGAATATTTGAGCTGCTAATGATGAGACAAAGCCCGAAAACATGACTTACACTTGAACAGTGTTGTTAGTATTATACCAGCCTGTGTTGACGCCGTGATCCAGTAGACTTTCGAAGCCTGGGGTGAAACGACGCCGCAGTTGAGACCAGGTGATCTCCGGCATGACATTCTTCTTGTTGCGCATCCAGCGATGTTGGAGCGTGCCGTGCAAATCCGGGTCATGCCATTGTCGTAACATCGTGTGAGCATTGGCAATGCCAAAGTTTTCAGAACCTGGGTCACTTTGTGTGACCATAGGCATATCTATGAAATGAGTCAGGCTCATGGGTGTCATGAATAATATGTATTAACTTACGGCCAAGTTCTTCAATTGTGTCAAGATAATAGCTAAGAATCAACTGTGGATTTCTGTTAGAATGCCAGACTCTGATCCACATAATGCGGCCAGAGAATGGTTCAATACCCGTGTGCAGCCCCAGACCAAACTTGAGCCATTTATCATGCTGGTCGACTGCAAACAAATCATTTACACCCGCGGCCCAGAATCGCCTTCTTCGAAGGCGACGTGCCTTACGCTCGCGGACAAGGCCAGGTTCAAACCTAGCAAAATATGATACTAGGACACTCCTAAGATGAAAAAGAGTCAGCGAACTGATGCAGTACAGTCAGCACAGATATCACCTAGCCACGCTCATATCCTTCTCATGAAACAGCAAACTTGCCATTTCACGTGCACCCGCATTTGGATAGATTGCACGTAACTCGATCATTGCATTGCGAATCGACTCAACAGTATGAGCTTGCTGGCGGGTCTGGTGAAGGCCCATTGCTTGGCGGATTTCGAGAAATTTGGTACGTCTAGTGTTCAACATTACATTATGGGTGAGGAATAATAACCCTGTGACTTACCCGATGCCATAGCGACTTGTGTCGATGTGCTTCTGCAGCTCAAGGACAATCTGACGGTCTGTCTGGCGTGCTTTCCACATGCGCAGAATATGTGGTGCAATTAGCTCCAGCGGAGCTGCATGAAGATCAGAACACTGGGAGGAAAGTTATAGTGAAAGCTCACGAGTGGGTTTCCATTGGTTCGGCATGGAATAATCACAATGGCTGTGTAGGTGTTGATATTTATAATCTGACTGAGCTGCAGGACTCATATTGAATGAGTGGTGTTCTGCTTGCCAGGAACACCGATCGGTGATAGCACATCATCATCCTTACGTACCTTTACGTGTTGATGGGCTATGCAGCTGGTAGCTGATGGCCTTGCGTACTTTTACATGTTGATATCCTTGCGTACCTTTACGTGTTGATGGGCTATGCAACTGGCAGCCAGTGATAATGACTCAAATTGGTTTGTAAGAGGTACGCAAACAGTGATACTCATCCTCTGATAGGTCTTGCTCAGTTTGAGTTCACCACGCAGCTGCCAATCCTCATGCTCAAACTGTTAAGTGGGTAAGTCATTTGCTGGACTGGCAAACACTCCGACTCGCATATCATCCCCCTTTGTCTTGCCCATCTGTAGAGAGTCGCATACTCGGACCGGGGACTGGGAAATTCAGGCTTGTTCCAAGTAGCCCTATCAAGTAAGTACACCTAGCTTGCCATCATTTCTTTCCAAGGCTCGTGGGCTGATGTGCAGCCACTTCTAGCTCCTCAATAAGAGTGTTAAGCAAGATTCACAGTTACATTCTGGCGACTCATGTCATCCGCAAACCTCCCGATGTGTTCTCCACATGTGTTACGGTCATGTATGACCTTGTTCCGGCGCTCATGTATGACCTTGTAAACCTCCTGATGACATATATATTGAAGGTGATGAATTGGCAGCAGATTATTACAGACCATGATGGCAGAGTACGAGATCATTTCTCAATTCACCGAGGACGCCTATGCCAAAGAGGATCGCATCTGTGACCGTCCTGTTTGCAGGGCCAAGATCAGGAAAGGTGACCCATGTTTCTATGTGGCTACCATCGAGCCAGGACAACCTGGGCGTAATGTGTGTGCCCCCTGCTACTCGCATTACAAGAAGAACCCAGCGACCTCAGTGAGACCCACCCGCCGAACCGAGCAGCTGCGTCCATTTGCCAGTGCACAGGGTTCAAATAACGACCGGGTCGCTCCTGATATGCGTGCAATTCAACAGTCGGTGAATGCAGCACAACGGAAATGTGAGTATATTATACGTTCGGAGTCCCTCTGCTAATTCACACAACAACAGTAACGATCAACCCTCCACCTGTGGTGGCAATGCCTCGTCGCACTGCAGGGCCAGACATCATGATACCTACATCATGGCAAGGCTCGTCATGGCAAGGCTCATCACAGTCAACTGGTCCACCATGGCCTGGGCAAGGTTAGATGATTCTCTCTTGTTTAGTGCGTTGTGACCCTTCCACTCATCTCTGATTCTGTCAGGTTCATCAAACGGTCCAATTGGATACTCATCTCAACACGCACTATATGCTACTGAGCGTGAACGCTGGGCCAAGATATCTTATGCCACACCTCCGGCAGAGACCATCTTAATCGAAATTAGTGCAGTTCATGAAGGTGGAGGTCGCAAAAAACGCGGGGTTCCCATTGGGGTATGTATGCGCTATATTATTGAACTTGGTGGTGACTGACATCTTTGCTTAGAATATATGTGAGGGAAAGAAGGGCATTGATGCACAGATTGATGCGCCAGGGCTGATTGAGCTCGCATTGGACACTATTGTGCCCAAGTTGCAGATTTTTGGTGGTGGATTTCTCTGGCGGGTGAATGAGTTTATAGTGCGAGATTCTGCATGGGTGGATCTTTCCAATCACCGACGGTCGGTTGCTTACTTCTACGATCAATGTCAGCAGCTGTCCCGCAAAGGCTCAAAGACAACAACATTCAAATCAAGACAGTTCGCACTAATGGTCATTGTTCCTGAGACTCAGTGGATTGAATATGAGAACTGGCGGGAAGATGCTGAAATGGTATGTGTTTACCTCACCTGTTTGCCAAACTAACATTATTTCACTATTTAGAATGCTGCTCGTATTGGTCAACGTCCTGCTTGCAAAGTTATCACCCCCCAAGTCCCCTCTTCAGTACAATCCTCAGTGGACTTGGAGAGTGAGCTTGGTACAGCACAAACCAATGATGGTGCCACCACCTCTGACAACGTCCGAAGCAATATTTTGCCTACGACCACTGTCACTACCTCCACCAAGCGATCCCATCAACACACTCACAGCTCTAGCAGCTTTGATATTCCGTCTCCTCCTCGAAAGAGAGATGTCGCACCTGCAGCTCTCTGTTCTCCTGATCGTGACCGACTGAAGGAAGTTTTGAGGATTGGCGGAGGCACTAACTTAGACATGAAGCAAGGTATGTTCATTATACTTATGGCGCTAGCAGCAGGACTTATTTGACTTTTAGTCTTTGGGCGACAGAGTGAGAGGATCCACTTCTACCTAGTCCCTTCTCGCCCCATAACAGACCTCTTACTGGACAAGTACCATTCCTTTTCCGTGGACACTGCTGAGTGGTCCATGGGTGAGCTGATTGTCGATACATCACCTCAAGGCCTGATTGGAGTCGGAGGCTTCAAAACTGCTCACACAGGATGGCTCACGCTGATGGCCCCGCCAAAGATAGGCCCCGGTTCTGTTGCGCACGATAAGATTGTTGTTAAACGACCCTACCATAAGGTATTCGCGACACCCACCACCACGACGGGACCATACAAGATTGCCCGTTATTCACTCGTTGATGAACTATCCAGGCTCTTCAAGGAGGCCAACGTTTTGTACTGGGCGAAGTCCTTGTTAAAGCTAACCTACGACTTCATTGATCGTTGTGTTGCATCTTCATCTGAACCACCCCCATTCCCAATTCCACGAGTTCGTTTTGTAGAAGGTGGGCTCGCACTGGCTTATTTTCAGGGTGATAGAAAACCTGGAGGCAAGACTGGGTCCACACGTGCCGTCTTTCTTCTCGAAGAGTTCATCGACAGCGATGGAGAAGACTTCGTCAAATTCATTCACAATATGGACGCCAACCCTTTGATTGATTATGACAAGTACGGCTATGACTTGGCGGTGTTCTTTTCATTCACGCAGCACATACAATATGCCAAGACCGGTAAATTGGCATTTATATCTGATTATCAAGGTGCGTGAACAATGTACCAGTGTGCGCTCTGAGACTGACACAATACCTTTAAAATTAGGGAGTACAACGCTGCTGACGGACCCTCAAATCCTGACACATCCGTGAGTTGCTTGAGTGTTGGGCTTCTTATGTTGATCTGACACATCAGATAGATCCGTCAGTGATGGCCACCTTGATATTTTCGGGGATGGAAACATCGAGACGACTGTGAGTCAGTTTGAGAAGGAGCATATTTGCAACAAGTACTGCAAATGGCCGGCATTTGGGCTAGAGGTTTATACGAGTGGGGAAGAAGAAGATGAGCTAGAGGCTTGCGCAGATGGAGAAGATGGGCCAGAGGCTTATGCAGATGGTGAAGAAGAACGTGAAAATTAGAAATTTCTTCTTGGAACTGGGACTTGATACTTTCTTCTTGGAAACAAACACGTAGCCGTCGTATATGTCTCGCTTGATATCAATACTCAGTACTGTGATATGGTAGTTATAGCGTGAAACGATTGATTGGTTTTGGTGGTTACATGGCGCGAAGGTGGCTGTGCCATGGAAGATCACACCACCAAAATCGAGGTTTCGACATTTGCCCGATAACAAAAGTAAGACCAAGTATAGTAAACTGGAGTTGTGTACATCGATATGCACACATCGACGTCAAGCCATTGAAAAGCATTGCGATGTGATAGTCCGATCAAAACGTCGTACTGGTACAAAACTTCAACAAGTACAAATAGAAAACGGATCCGTTTATATGTGATTGCTGAATAAACAAAAAAAAGATGGCGGGTGCACGGTGTCCCAATTATGTGACTGCCTTATTTGGAGCATGTCACATCAAGTAACAGAGCACGGACGTTAGGCTTTCCATAGCGTGCCCAGTGCGTGGCAACCGGCAAACTCCAATCAGCTTGCGGGACCTCTCATGGGAGAGGACCAGACATGTTGAAATACAAAATACCTGTCTTGTACTGCGTTGAAAAGTGCTTATTTGTGATATACGTAGATCTCCTTCGCATCACACAGTTATCTTCTTACAACTTCGCATCGAAAGGTCACATACAAGGCGCGGCATCAGTAAATCGGTGAGACTTAGATATTAGTCGATTTTGTAAGCCCAAACCTGGGCTGCTCAATTCATTTAGTTTGCGACGTTGCGGCGTAACGCGTTCACTTGGATTCAAGCACCGCTGAGCGTCATCAAACCTTGTCCTAAACGGCTTGGCTCTTAAACCTTATGGCGTGCAGTCACCTCCCGTCCGCTCCAGCATTAAGAAGCATTGGTATATACTGAGCCAATTCTCGAATTCTCATAATTAGAAATAAGAATCAACAGCGATCATTTCACTAATACGAGCCTAAGTCTCCATAGCACAAAACAGAACGCGACATGATGAGATCCAAAAACGGGTGTTGAAACCTGATACAGTCTACAGCACTAGTACATGACATGAGAAAGAGCATCAGAAACAAGGAAACAGGCGTGCTTGGTATTGTACACAAACAACATGAGCAAATAGCATGGGAAAACCGTATCGAAAAACAGGAAACTTGGCCTAAGCATCATCTACTTTTTCTGTCATCGAGTCCTTTGCTGCAGGCTGTCAGTAAGCTTCGATATCCAAGTTCACAGCCAGGCAAGGGACGTACGCAAGCGATTTTCAAGAATGAACTCAAGAATCTTCTTCCCCAGTTCCTCTCTGTCGTAGCCTCCACGAGAAATCTCTTCCGCTCCTTTCTCCACTACGACAGCCGTCGGAGATTTTAGGTAGTAGGCCACAGCAAGCTCGATGGGCTTCAAATCCTTCTTGTTGTTCGGGAGAAAGGCGGAGTATTCGAGGACGATAATAGTAGCTACTTCCTGTCATTAAGACTACAACTGGTCATGGGGCGAGAAACTTACCAAGGCCAACCTGAATGATTCTGCTCACAGCAGCAGTGGAGAGTGATTCCTTCGCAGCCTGTTGCATAATAGTACAGCGCTGAGAATCAATGCAGGAGAAAACCAATCTACCAAAGGCCGAAGGACACGGATGATGTCATCTCGCTCGATTTCGGTCTAGCCACAAGTTAGTATCAGGATCAACTCCACAGAGGAAAGTACTTGCCTCCTGCGGGAAAGGAATGTCAGAATCATGCAAACTCACATTTGATTAATAACAGAAACCCACATTCTATTTGGTTGACATGACGGTTGTGAATAATTAACCAGTGCTCAGGTAACTTACAAACTGTCAGGGGTTGGAACCAGATGAGCGTCACTATGTATTGGTGAAGATATGCAATCTATAGACGTACGAGCTAAATAATATTGTTTGTCAGTGGAGTACTATCATATCAGACAGGATGAGATTAACACACATTCTGTGAACACGTGATGAATGCAAGGGATTATGTGGCTAAAATCCTTAGCGATTGCAACATACTCACATCCTATAAAACGAAAGAACCGGTCAAAATGATTGTCGCACTTAATGCTTCACATTATGAGGGTCAAATAACTCACATTCTGGACAGGATAGGAAAATATGCAAGATGAATGAACATGGAAAATAAGCTATCGAGGGATACTCAACGAACTATGTATTATATGAGTAATGGTGATTCGACTCATCTGATAGAATGGAAGATACTTACATCAGGCTATGAAAATGAGTGAACATCGTTATACTATTCAGTATCATTTCAATACAAGATACGATCAAGACACCCACCACCTGCCAAAAAATAGCAACAAGATATATGACTGTTCGACATGAGTTGCAAACGGAAAACTATGAAGGCACTTACCTCCTGTCAACAGGTGAGCAGCAACAATTGTCAGCACGGATTGATGATGAGAAACCATCAAAGGTACGCACTTTCTGTCAACAGGTGAGCAGCAACGATTGTCAGCATGGGTTGAGAATGAGAAACCATCAAAGGTACGCACTTGCTATTAACGGGCGAGCAGCGGCAAGGCATCAGGATCATAAGTATGAGTCAAGGATGAGAAACAATAAAGGCACTTACATCCTGTCAACAGGCGAGCAGCAGCGAGGCATGGCGATGATGAGCATGGGTCGAGGACTATAAACCATCAAGGCACTTACGTGCTGTGAACGGGCGAGCAGCAGCAAGGCATGGGGATGATGAGCATGGGTCGAGAAGACTAGAAACTATCAATGCACTTACCGACTGTCGAGAGACGAGTAGCAGCAAGGCATGGGGATGATGAGCATTGGTTGAGGACTAGAAGCCATCAAGGCACCTACCTTCTGTCGAGAGGCGAGTAACAGCGAGGCATGGGGATCATGAGCATGGGTTGAGGACTCATCAAGGCACTTACATACTGTCAACAGGAGAGAAGCGGCGAGACATGAAGATCATGAGCATGGTCGAGGACTAGAAACTATCGAGGCACTTACACGCTATAAACAGACGAGCAGTAGTAAGTTATGGAGATGATGAATATGGGTCGAAGACTAGAAAACATCAAGGCACGTACGTCCTGTCAACGGGCGATAAGCAGTAAGACACAGGGATCATGAGCATGAGTCGAGGATTAGAAAGCATTGAGGCACTTACATACTGTCAACAGGCGAGTAGCAGCGAGGCATGGGGATAATGAGCATGGGTCAAAGACTCGACAGCATCAAAGCACTTACCGACTGTCAACAGGCCAGTAGCAGCAAGGTATGAGGCTGATGAGCATGGGTCAAGTACTAGAAACCATCGAGGCACTTACGTGCTGTCAGCAGGCGGGCAACAGCGAAGGATGGGGATAGTGAGCATGGGTCGAGGACTAGAAACCATCAAGGCACTTACACGCTGTCAACAGGCGAACAGCAGCGAGGTAAGGGGATGATGAGCATGGGCCGAGAACTAGAAGATATTGAGGCACTTACCCGCTATCAACAAGCGAGGCATGGGGATGATGAGCATGGGTCGAGGACTAGAAACTATGAAGGCACTTACCCACTGTCAACAGGTGAACAGCAGCGAGGCATGGGGATGATGAGCATAAGTCGAGGACCAGAGACCATCAATGCACTTGCCTCCTGTCGACAGGCCAGCAGCAGCGGGGGATAGGAATCATGAGCATGAGTCTAGGGGTAGAAACCATCAATGCACTTACCGTCTGTCAACAGGCGAACAGCAGCGATGTATTGGGATGATGAGCTTGAGTTGAGAACAAGAAACCATCAAGGCACTTACATACTGTCAACAGGCGGGAAACAGCGAGGCATGGGGATCATGAGCATGGGTTGTGGATTAGAAACCATTAAGGCACTTACCCACTGTCAACAGGTGAGCAGCAACGAGGTATGAGGATGATGAGGATGAGCGGAGGACTAGAAACCACCAAGGTACTTACCCGCTGCGAGCAGCAGCGAGGCATAGGAATGATGAGTACGAGTCGAGGGCTAGAAACCACCAAGGCACTTACCCACTGTGAACAAGCGAACAGCAGCAAGGCATCAGTGTTGTCCGTGCTGTTTGAACTTCGTAAACCACAATCTTACCAGCTGTTATCAATGGACAACTACAATCAAGAAAAAAATTAGAATGTCTACAGTTTTAGCAATTCGATATTTACCATTGTGAGCACCATTACCAGGGTATTCAGATTGAATCAATCTTCAACTTACTTTGATGTGTGCAAACCACTTAGCAATGTCATACTGATAGTCGTCATAATTGCTTCGCCCGAATAGCTGATGCGTACGATCGATCAGTGTTCTAGATGATGTTAGAACAAAAGTGTGTGACTTGCAAATCTGCGACTCACATGACAGCACACTTGATGCACAGCTCCAGGTTCGATTGTTGTGTCGACAGCAAGCACAACCGCAATTCTTCGTTGTCCAGTGTGAGAGTGGTGCATTCCAGTAGAGTGCTGCAGTCTGTATTTGGTTGGCTCATATCTAGGATGGTTTCTAATATATCAACACATGGGAGAAGTCAATCTGAACCACTTACTCTCCAAGCGTACATAGGACTTATAATGGGCACGGTTTTCAGGTTTGCACAACTTATTCAAGACACCTGTGTTCAAGAACAGCTCTTCGACGCGTTGGGTAATCCTTTTTGAGCATTCTTCTTTTGATATCCCTTGTAGTTGCTTCTTGATTTGACCATACGCGACTGGACGCAGAGCTTCGAACTTGGTGAACACCACGACCACGGGCACTGAAGATCGATCATTTAGTCCGAGCACAGCAAATGACAATGAAGTTGCAGGCTCACCGCGCCCAGTGTCGCACTGCAAGAAGAACTTCTCCTCTGATTGCTGGAATAGTCGACTCCGGTCACCCATTGGAATACAATACCTGATGGCAATCAACAAGCGGGAAATGTCAAAAGGGAGCTATTTACCAGATAGCATGGATACGCTCCTCTAATTTCTTCGCGTGCGTGCGTTCTGAGACAAATTTCTTCATCTTTTCGAATTCTTCTTCAGTGCCCGCTTCGAAACCGCACGAGTCGTGAAAGACGAAATAGGGAGTGCTTTTGAATATCATCTCGTTCGTGATGTCGTGATTTCCACGCTGAAAATATCCGTCAGCGTATGTATGCCCACAGGGCAAATGATGCACATACCTTGAGCGAGGCATTCACGATAGCAGCATCGATCTACCCACAGTTTATCAGCGATAGATGCGTGCATAGCATAGATCATCTCCCGCACCTTGTTTCCTTTAGCATCGTAAATTTCTGGTTGATCCGTGGTGTTGCAGACCTTCTGAAGGATGGTCGTTTTGCCTGCGTTTCTTCTCCCTATAATCAGAACTCGAAAGCGCCCAATTCTTTCTCTAAGGTCCTGGGCATCAATGGTTGCCATTGGGAGATCTTAATGTGCGTCTGGAAGTAGGGGTGATTGTGTTTATCGGGAAAGCTGTACTGTGGTACAGAATGAGGTGCGATATGCCAGCGGACGAACACGAATCAAGCCTTAATATTTAATTCCAAAGGTAATCCGCACAAACTTGGAAAGTCGAAATTTCTTTGTCCCATTCAGTTTTTGGGACAAAACTTGGAAAAACGTTAACGTGATGCGGCAAATATCAGAGATTTGGCCAGACTTGGACAACTTGAACGTCTGGGACATGACAGCACCCAACTGCACTCCTTTGGTTGAGTCCCTCCCACTACTTATTTGGCTCAAGCTCAAACCTTGGGTCAGATAAGTACACGCATGCATGCACATCATGATATACTTATACACGTAATAGTAAATAGGGTACGCTTTAGAAATCAGAATTGTTCACCCCTGTCATGTATGCAGACTCGCATCGTCTACCACTCTTCGTCTGCTTTCGGATCCACGCGCCCAATCTGCGCCCTCAGGCCCCGAACTTCTTCAGCCTTGATAGAATGATCCTCGATCATCCTGACAATCTTCTCCAGCGCATCACCCTCTCCTCTACAAATGGCAGACACACAATAGGATTGGATTGCTAAGTGGACTTTATTTTTGCACGCCCCCTCATAGGCTTTGGTGGCAATTTTGATGACGTGACGAGAAATAGGACCTGTCGGTGCTAGCAAGAACAATATCTGCATGACGCATGTTAAATCCACGATATACGTCATAATCCGCTGTAAAACAATATTTCTAGATAGATCGGTAACCTTATAAACCACGTTTCAAATGAAAACAGTACACATTCACTTACGTATGTTGATAGACATCGCGAGCCCATTCAACCAAGGCCACCCCTGCGGCAATCGGTGGAAACGCGCCAGCTAGCAATGTCAAAATCGCTGTAATCGTCGCGAGACCGAATTCACTGCTAATGTTTCTGTAAATCGAAAATGAATGTCTCGGAGTACAATAACTAACTCACAAAGGTTGTGCTGTGCACGGAAGGTCGGTCATGTCAGGACCTTTTGGCATCAGTTCATCGGCTTTGTCTAGATCTTTCAGTATAAGTTCTTTGAACTGGTCACTAGCCAAGTGCTTCGCAAAAACTTGTCAGCAGCCAGTGACTAAAATTAGATATGCATCTTACACAGTGAGGGTCGTTGAAGTTCCAGACATCAATGATGTCCTTGTGAATCACAGACAAGCAGTCCGACATGGTAAAGCCTTTGAAGTTCACGCTCGCAGCGAGACCTCTCCAATATCCTAGAAATTCGGAAGTCAACAAGGTGCCGAAGACTGTGACAAGACTAACTTTTCTTCCCAATGCTGTGGAGAGCACAAGTGTGAAATTAAGGCATTACCAAATTAACAGTGGTCGTACACAATTGATGCCTTAACTTTAAGACCGATGTCTGCCCGTTGGGCTATCATCATTACTAATGCCGCTTCTGAGGCGACAAATTTTTCGACGCTCGTGGTTGTAAGATCGATCAGTTGTCTTATGGTGCTCTCGTACTCTTCCTCCGCTATGATAGTATGTCAGCATCGGAAAATAGGGAAGTAAAACCCCTTTACTAGAAACCGTTGTGTGCAAAATGTCGCTTCCGGCTACTTCCTTAAGCGGCTGGATACACAGATCTTCGAGCGCGGTTTTGTCATATTCGCCTGATATACTGGCGTCGTACTCCAATTTGTCGACAAGAGTGTCATACTTGGTGAAGACGACAATTATCGGAACTAGATGTAAACTATGAGTTATGAGAAACCAAATGAAAACGCCGCGCACTATCGCCCAGTATTTCCTTCCTCAATTTGATGAATTCCTCTATTCCATTCTCGAACAAGGCTTCATTGGCAAGAGGTATCGAGATGCAAAGCCTTCCAGCAATGTCAGTATGGCAGAGTGACGGCAGAAACTAGAAGACGATACCAGACCGCGTGGATTTTGTCCTGCAGTGGCATGTTGCGTCGGCGCTTAATGAAGTCTTTTGCAATCGCAAAATTTTCGCTATCGCCAGCTTCAAACCCCTGACTATCGTGGACGACGAATCGTTCATTTTCCGGCGCAGTGAATTCCTTGTTGATATCCGCTTCACCACGCTCGTGCTCAGCAACATGCTGTAAAGGATAGGTGAACGTCAGTAACTGTCCCCACATGGAACTAATTCATGGACTCAACTACTTCATTTAGTTTGAATGCCTGCCGGATCAGTGTTGACTTTCCGACTCCAGTCTACGAAGTAGATGAGTGAGTCGTTTATGCTTGAAGACAATAACTGAGACAGACATTGCCTATCACCAGTAGCCGGAATCTCGGGCAATTCTCTAGAATATCCCTGCTAGTCGACTGCAGCTGCCTAATATCGTCGATATGGACAAGGATATTCAGTTTGCTGCTGGAATAAGAGACCGATATACTGACGATATTGTAGTAATGACAACTGTCATCTTCCGCTGAGACGTGCTATATTCTATCACAGTCAAACCGTGAATTTAATGTGATACAGTTGAAGGCGAATTGATTCACCTCGTTGTCCGTTTGGATCCACTGTTTTGGCCAAGATGTCTTTTCTGTTTAATGAAAAATCCATGGCGGTCTTCCGCGAAAACATGCCCATTTTAGTATGGGAACAGTGTACAGACAAGGAAACCCGCTCAGTGGTCATCGCACTGTGTTACATTGTTCTGAACGAGTTTCTACAAATATAAATGGAGCTCACATGGCGGGATCGAACTTTGCATTGAGGTTTTTGCCTGGTTCCAAACTATGGATTTCCTGTCGCTGTGAATCAAGCTTCAACTCAGGCAAAATCGACCTTCTTCTTCGAAGTATCATCAAGGTGGATGACAATACCTAAGAAGAAAAATGTTCAAGGGTGAAGTACACGGCAAGTAGAAAATTCTTACTGGAGATGCGGAGAGGAACAGAGGAGGCAGCTACAGTAGGGGTATTTTCCGACATTGTCCTCCAAGTCAATGAAAGAAAGGGTAAGGAGGATGATGGGCGCAAACCGAGTAATACCTGTGGGGCGCGAACGTCATACCAGCGTAAATTTGCACGGCTGGCCTGGCCGCTGGGTGCATGCTTGAGAAGCTTGCAGAATTCCTGAAAGACCCAGTGGAAGCACCGATAATTTATGTAATTTACCGTTTGTTCGGGACTTGACACAACACGTGTGTTACAACGTTCAGGCGTTTACTCCTTCAGAGTTCATGATACCCTGCCAATCAGCGAAAGACTCATAATTTTCGCTTGTCAGAAAGAAGTTTGATGCTTACGGTGAGCTTACGGTGTTGGCGATATAGCAGGGTTCATCGGAAAGGTTTGATAGAACTTTGCATCTCCTATACTAGTAGGCGCTGTGATTCATATAAGGCAGTCAGTTTGCGCAGACTGGCCAGTTAACACAAATTGGTGTGATCTGAGAATTAATACTGATGGAGAAACTCGAAAGAACTGGTAACAGGTAATACATTCGATTTGCACTAGACTCAAAAGAGCGACCGTAGCAGCCTCTGCCGTGGAATGTGATTAGAACAGACGCTCACATGTACACATTTAGTTTGGCCTCATCGCACCCGATCTTGAAGCTTGAGGCCCCAGCATGCCGGGAGTCATAGATGGGCCCCATTACCATTCTGAAGTATGTCGGCTCCCAAATTTTGGGAATAGCAAGGCGCGTGCAGAGGCCTCATGTATCTTGTTTTCATGAACGTCGTAATGCTCGAGAGATAAGACTAGTCTATTCTCTGCAGTCGACCCTTGCTAGTACGCCCGCCAATAAAATACAAATAGTGAATAGGACGCACACCGCGATACACTCCAAATTGACATTCAGTAATGCGCTTAGTACTTTTCTGCGTCTTCCTCTACCTCATTGAAGTGATCCAAGCTTCGCCTACAACAAATACAACAAACACTACTGCTAACGATGGTTTTAAAGCCCCATCATTCACAACCAGAGCCATATGGACCATCACCTCCAGCTCCGTTCTCACGCTTTTTGCGTGCGTTTACACTGCCATCCACCCCAATATCCCGAGTCCTAAGCACAAAGGCTACCCTCATATCCTATGGCGACAACTTGGCACGATGATCATGGCTCTAATCGCTCCTGAACTGATCGTCACATGGGCCATGCGCCAGTGGCTCAGCGCTCATCAAGTTACAATACAGTTCGAGGCATCGGGGTATCCCAACATTTGTCCGGAGTCCGAAGGTGAGTATACTTTTGGGAACTCTACATCTCACGACTCACTATACACGTCCTTAGAAAGGGTGCCTATTGAAACACCTGAAACTGGAAATCCTTTCGTTCACTTTTTTCTCCTCTGGCAGGAGGCTACAGGTCGCCTCTTTCGCCTGTTTATTGAAGGCGTATTATCTGTGCTGGTGTCTCTTTGGCATTCCCTTTGTGCTCCTGTGAGGTGGACTGCAAGGTGGATTAAGTCAGAGAAGTTTGAGCCTGACCCAGAAGGTAAGCCCGATTCGTGCTCACCTAAACGTTGGCTCATGCACATCTTTAGGATTTACGTGGACCCAGACGCACAGCTTCTTTGTGTTGATGGGTGGTTTCATGCTCTATGTGGATGGGAAACCCTATTGTACACTACAACCTGAGCACATTCGCAAACTGATACGTCGAGGGTGTATCGACGTCCCTACCCTAACGGCAGACCAGATCGATGACAGGAGCAAAGGCAATGCGATATCGAAAGGATTGGTTATGCTTCAGGTGGCCTGGTTTGTTATGCAGCTCATCACCCGCGCCATCTATCACCTCGAAATCACCAAGCTCGAAGTGGGGACACTGGCTTTCGCGGTTCTTAATTTCCTAACTTATGCTGTGTGGTGGCACAAGCCTCTCGGTGTGCAATGTCCCCATCCAGTGCACTGGAAGTCGACCGAGTCAGAGCTAAAGTATTATAATGAGTATGTATGCACCTCAACAATCATACCGCTGTTGATCATGTCTGCTTAGTGTCTACTTTAGTGCCACAGGCGAATCCTCTCCGCTTCAGTCCTTGCCTCGGGTCTTCCACCCAATTATAGAACTGATAGGTTGGGCTGGCATTCCGACATCTCGAAGGCTCCAAGTTCAAACATTTGATGGCAGCATCAAACTCAAAGTTTCGGACAAGATGGTTCTTCAACAAGCCGCATTGTATATGGCAACCATATTTGGCGGCATCCATTGTATGGCTTGGTTTTTTGCGTTCCCCACACATCAGGAACAGGTGCTATGGCGCATGAGTGCCGTCGCTACAACTTGCACGCCGTGGCTTGGTTTGAATGCCTACTTAGTCCGGGAAATAATCAATTCAG